GGATTCTCTACATTAGGCTGCTCCAAAGGATACTCTCTCTATGCTGCTTTTTTGTGGTTCTTCTTTATGCATTTTTTATTCTGGAGATAAACAGAGGTCATTTGGAAGGTGGTTATTTTATGTGGTATTCTGGCTGGATCCAGGCCTGGATTAATCTTATTCAACAGCCTTGTAATGTGAATATTTGAAAATGAACAACCTTTTCATATATAGACAGATCCCAAGCTTAGAGAAGATTGTTTCTTATATAAAAAAGCCTTTTTTTTTTTTTTTTACGTACACTGCTTTTTATAAAGAGAGTGATGTAGGGGCAGCTATAAAAAGATCAAGAGGGAAAGTTTTTGTCTTTTAATTAGTGTTTCACTAAGCTAAAATGAGGAATGAAGTTTACTATACTGTGCTTTTATCGAGCTATGAACTTCTGATAGATCTTTTCTGAATACAGTGGAGCATCCTAAGAGATTGTTCAGATTCCAGGGAGAAAACCAAGCATACTTTATTAAATTAAGAAAAAAAAAGCAGTTCATAGTTATGGATGATGATATCTGTGCTGATGTATTTTAAGGTTTCTTACAGTGATTTTTACAAGAAGCTATTACACAAAACCTGTTCTATCTGAAATTTTATTTTCTGCATCTGACTGTCCATCTTTGTGCAATAACTGCCCTCTCCTCTCTCTTGTCCCACCACTTCAGGAATTCTGAATCCGCATTTCCTTTACAGCAACGCTGTAAAAGAACAAATGTTATGAAATCTTAATGCTGCTATAAAAAGCAGCTGCAAAATCTCTTTGACTGCCTGAGATTGTGCCAGATGGTAAAGAATTGGAAGTATAATAAATGTCACGTTAAGCCAGCCAGATTTGAGGGGCATGTTATGCATCCCACATAAATAAAACACTGCTAAAACTGCCCCTAGAGTAATGAGATGCAGGAATAAGCTCTTCTGTAGCCTCAGGAATATCTCACAGCTTCTACAATGCAAAGTGTTTCTAATATTCAGAGCACTCACATTAGTCTGGTTCTTTGCCAAGACCTGACAGCTCAGTGTTGCTACATTTCTCTAGATGCAGGGGCTGTGATAAAGCTAATCTCTCTTTTTTTTCCTCCTAGGATTTTCAACATACTATTTTTTTCTCTGGAAAATAAAACTACAGCCAGCCTTCTTATCAGAAATACAGAGATGATGAGGAATAACACCCAAAGCTATTTCCTTGGGACTCAGTTATCCCATCACAGAAAAATTGTGTTCAATTGAAAGGTCATTGACTGTACAACTGGCTGGGGATTGCCCCTACTTTGTTGGCTGTAATTCTAACATTTTGTTCCCTTCACACACAAATTTTTAACCCTCTTGCTGTGTTTGTACACAGAGACCCTGAGAATGACAGAATCATCCAGGTTGGAAAGGATCTCGGGAGATCTCTCGTCCAACCTCCCGCACAAAGGAGGTTCAAGCTTCGTGTTCAAGGAGAACACAAATTCCATATGCTGACACGTTAAATGCTGGCGTTTAATCTGTGTATTTTTAAAGAGATGCATGATAAATGACAGTTAATGTTGCAGAAAATTTGTGTCCTGTAATACCTTAAATGGTGTCAGCACAAACCAGACAAGCCAAGTGAAAAAGAAAGAAGATGCAAATGAAACTGTTAATAGACACAGATATCCCTGAACTGTCCTCCTTCCCCTCTGACATGTTTATGCTCAACCTGGTGACCTTTCATGGAATAATTTTGGGGCCAAAGTCATAGCACTCAGTTGGATGATACCCGCAAAAATAAAGAATTCTCGTAGTAGGTTTTTGTAGCATTATTAAGAGTGGGAATAAATTCCTGAGACACACTGAGAGAGGAATTTTAAGTCTGTGCAGGGCCCTAATTTGAAAATCGTTATTTGATTTGCATAGTCAGTGGTTGCTTGGTTGCTAATATCAGTATAATTTTAGAAGGTGAAGTGTCCTGAATGAAAGAAATGTTATGTCTGTCAGCAAAGATCTTTCTCTGCAGATTCACAGAACTCCCCTACTTCATTATTCTGGAAGACGGAATATGAAATGAGAAATGCTGAAGTTGGAGATAATATGTCAAACTGACTCCCTGAGTTTTGTTCAAAATAAATCCTCCTCCCTGTGAATGACCTTGATGACAAGAACTGGGCTTAGAGACAAGGGGTTTAAAATCCTGAGTTGTGGTGCTTTTTCATTGACTTCCAAACAGCAAAGAGTTGTCTGATACGTGTTAGAGCAACACAGTTCACACTGTATGTCCTGTCTTCTCTTTGGCTGGAGCACACCACTCTTACCAGACAGAATAAAGACTTCTCTATGCAATCTTGCTTAGCATAGACACAGAAATCAGAATCATAGAATAGTTTGGGTTGGAAGTGACCTTTAAAGGTCACCCCGCAATGAGCAGGGACATCTTCAACCAGATCAGGTTGCTCAGAGCCCCGTCCAACCTGAACTTAATGTTTCCAGGGATGGGGCATCCACCACCTCTGTGGGCAATGTACAGTTCTGTGAGCCAGGCAGTGGAAGGAAGCAGTGCTCTGAGTTTCAGTTCTCACCTGCAAATACTGCTGTGCCACAGCCTTAATCATAAGCCAAAGACACAGTATGTAACTGAGCAGCAGCATCAATAAACCTGCAGAACACAAGTGATGTCTATATTCAGCTTCAAAAGGAAAATTCCTGCAGTCCTTACACCCATCATGGTGAAACTCTGTGGGAGTTCATATACAAGCCCTGAGTTGGCCTGTGTTTAGTTCTCAGCTCTGTTTGGAAGGGTGCACAAGCAGGAGTGAAAATTAGCCCTCTTCATGTTTTTCTCCGGCTGTCCTGTCTTATTTATCTGTGTGTGTGTGTGTGTGTGTGTGTGGAATCTTTCTTTAGTCTTCCAGTTTTGGCCAGCATACCTGTAGAAGCCCTTACTATTCTTCACAGTCTTTGACAAATTCAGCTTTCCTGATCCCATCCCTACACATCCAGGCAGTGTCCCTATATTCTTCCCAGGATATATGTCCCTTGTTCCACTGCTTGTTCCATTTCCTTCTTACAGTTTAGGTGGACCAGGATGTCCTGACTGACCCCTGCCAGTCTCGTCCCCTCCTTGCTTCATTTCTTACACATGGGAATTAATCGCTCCTGCACTCTAAGAATAATGTCCTTAAAGACTTGCCAGATCTTTCCAGCTCCTTGAATGCAGTTTCCCAGGCGGTCCCATTCACTCATTCCTTAAAAAACTAAAAGTTTGCTCTCCTAAAATTCAGGGTCCCGACTCTTCAGTTGGCCCACATCCCTCAGATTGGGGTGTTCACAGTGGAGGCATCTGCGACTCAACGAGTCCCTCAGAGCTATTTTATCACATCAAAGAAACACCACTTGTGAAATTATTTTCTCCCCTTAACAGAGGCGGTCTGGCTAAAACAGGAACACTGCATTTGGAAGGTAAATGAGATTTCTACGTCAGGGGAATCTTTAATTATTCAGATACGGCCCCGCAGGTCTGATAAAGCCTTTCCCATGTTGAGGACATATCAAGAACAGCAGTTTTTTTCTGCATAGATCTTTAAGCAGCCCAGTACCACTTCAGATAGTGAACAAACAAACATTTACTGTATTTGTGACCTTACAAAAAAGAAAACACACATTAAAAGCTGGCATTTCTTCCTCAGATGACAATTTTTCCTAGGAAAAAATTACTCAACCTCATGAGTCTTTTTGTAGCACAGAGGGATTCTTCTCACTGTGAATTATTTCATCTCTTACAGTGATCCCCATACAACAAGTTCCCCACTTCCAGGGTTCTTAAGATTTTATCAGATTCACATTAGTACCTTTCATCTTGTAGTTCTGTTTTGATAATAACTTCATCCTTGCTTTGAGGGCTACATTAATTATGAACAAGAATAATCCAGTATTTATCACTGCATATAGCAGAGAAATCAGAAAATAATCATGATACAGATTAATTAACTACAGGGTGACCTGAACTGCTTAATGGCCTCTGTTCATTTGTAATTTTCTTTTAATATGGTCAAATGCTCAGTCACAGTCATAGGTCAAGCAATGTAAGATGTAGGACTGTCATGTTGGAAGTAATAACCCTAAGAAAACCATACAGGGTTGCAGTGGATAACTAATTAAACACTACACCCTTTCTGAATGATTCATGTATCTGTCTGTCTCTGTTTTAATTAGGTGGGGATATCAGTCTGAAACAGCAATGTGATTTACCACTGTATATTCAGCAATAATAAGGCTCGGTTTTGGCATTCATAATTCAAAAATAATATTGGAAAATTCTGAGAAAGGATGCACACAAGTGATTAGGAAAGGAATTTTAAATGTATGAGTTGTATAATGTTTTAGAAATAGACATTAATAATCTTGAACTCTGCAGGGAGAAATCTTTTCGTAGTAAAGAGTCTGTTCAAGCAGCAGCCGAAGTAACATGATCCAGTGACAAAGAGCTGAGCTAAAAACTTGAAACTAAAAATGAGATGCCCAACTTTTAACAGTGAATGTTAACAATTCCAATTGCATGGCCTCAGCCAGAAGTTACAGAGTTAACACAGGAATCGCTCTGATTCTGGGAGCTGGGCTACACAGGCCAAACAAGATCATTTTAACAATCCCTTATGACCTCAACATTCACGAACATAAATCTTTGAGCCTATGTTCTTCTATCACTTTGAAGAAGCGATCTCTGAACTTCCAGGTTTTCAAGAATTTCCTTCTTTTAGTTACTGCTATATAAAGAGTTTCCTACATTCTGCATGTGTGTCTTCCTCTAAATTTGAGAACACCAGAGGCCACATAATCCTGAGCTTTAACACCACAAGAATTCAGATAATAAAATCCCCACCTGCTTTGTGCTTTTTTGAGGAAGTCTATTCTGACCCCTGGCCTGAGAAGAAACTCGAGAAAGCCTGGAACCATTAATACTGGGATTTTTTTGCATTTAAAATACGTGAACACAAGTCCACAAAAAAACGTACCTGTGACTGTGATGAAACTACATCTTGTACCTTCAGTTTCAGAGAAACCACTCTCTAGTTTCAGGTGCTGGTCCCAGAGGAAACACGTTCTCTCAGTGAAGGTCTGCAGAGAGCCAATACATACAGAGTGACTCACAGTGTGTTTAGATTAAACAGCTCAAAAAGAAATCGTGGAGTTCCCTGTGCTGTGCCTCTGCTGTGCAGGCAGCCCCATTGCTCTGGAGGGGAAAGCATCAGCTCTGTGCCTACAGCCCACTGAAACTGTGACCCATGGTAACATAAATAGAAGACTCTCACGTAGTGGCAGTGACACAGTCCTGCTGAAGTGACACAGTCCTGCTGAGTCACCTGGAGCAAACAGGAGTTTGCTACACTTATGCAAGTGCCAGACCGTGACTTCGCCCATGTCTGACAGGGCGACCAGCAGCCCTGAGGCACCTCAGCTTCTTGGGGCCAACATCCCCTCTGGGAAAACAGCCCATGGAAAAAAATTAACTTGCCCTTGGGTCAGGAAACTTCTTTCCCTGGGGCTGTCCCGGTGGGGCAGTGAAACGCGGTGCAGAAAGAATCACGGAATGGTCTGGCTTGGAAGGGACCTTCAAGATCACCCAGTTCTAATCTCCTGCCATGTACAGGGATACTCTGCACTAGGCCAGGTTGCTCAGAGACCCATCCAACCCGGCCTTGAACACTTCCAGGGATATGGCAGCAACTGCAGACTCCTCTCATTCCAACTTTGGTCTTCAACTTGTTGCTTAAAACCAGCAAATCTTATAGTCCTTGGTCATGCCAACCAGTAAATCACATGACTGTAAATCACGAACTACACTGCTACGGTCTTTAACAGGGCTGACAGTGCCTCAGCCCTGCACCCTCAGCCTTCAGCCTCTCAACCCCCATCCCCTCATCCCTGAGCCCCTCAGCCCCCAGCCCTCAGCTTAACCTTCAGCCCCTCATCCCTCAACCCTGAGCCCTTCAGCCCCTCATCCCTTCAGTCCTGAACCCCTCATCCCCCCAGCCCTCAACTCTCAGACCTCAGCCCCCAACCCTCAGCTGAGCCCTTCAGCCCCTCAGCCCTCAACCCTCACTCCTTGGACCCCGGCCCCTCAGCCCTGAACCCCTCAGCTATCAGCTCCTCAGCTATCAGCTCCTCAGCTATCAGCTCCTCAGCTATCAGCTCCTCAGCTATCAGCACCTCATCCCCTCAGCGCCTCAGCCCCTCAACTCTGAGCCCCTCAGTCCTCAGCTCTCAGCCTCCAGCCATTAACCCCTCAGCCCAAACTCCTCATCCCCCAGCACCGAGCCCCTCAGACTTCAGCTCCTCAACCCTGAGTCCCTCAGCCCTCAATTCTCAACCCCCTAGCTCGAACTCTCAGTCCCCGCTCCTCAGCCGTCCTCTCTCAGCCCCCAGCACTGAGCGCCCGAGGCCCTCAACTCTCATTCCTCAGCTTCCCCCAAAGCCCCGCCTCTGCCCGCCCCTCCACACGTACTCCTGTTCTTATTGGCCGGAGCTCCTCAGAGCGACGGGAGAGGCGGCCAATTAGCGTTCGCATCGCCGTGACGAGCTGGGAAGGTCGGGCTCTGCCTCCGTTCCGCCCGCGGCACGGCCCGGGCGCCGCTGAGGGCGGGACGGGGCGGCTGTCCTGAGGGACAGGCGGACGGAGCCGCCGCCGCTGTCTCGGGGGAAGGAGCTGCCCTGTGCCCGCCGTGCCATGGAGGACTTGCTGCCCTCGGGCCTGCTGGAGGTCTGCCTGCTGGTCGGTGCGCCCCGGGAGCGGGTGCGGGCGCTGCTCCAGGTGAGGGGGGGTTCGGGTGTGCAGGGCAGCGTCTGTGGGGCAGCGTCTGTCCGCGGATGGGGCTGAGATACCTCAGCAAAAACTTGTTTTGACAGGCGGACGCCAGCAGAGCAGGGGGAGTTTGGTAGCGGTGTGAGGTGATCTCACTTTTCCAAAGGTCCGAGTGTAGATGGAGAACTCACTGTAGCTTTATACAAGCAGGGACAGCAAAACGCGTATCTTCGACTGGATGATAATCCACGTCCCGTCTTCCGCTGGAGATCCTGAGGAAAACACGAGTTCTAAACACCCGTGAGCTCAGTGCTCTGAGTTTGGCACAGCCGGCGCCGCTCGGATGCGGCGGGAGCCGAGGGGTTGGTTTCCGCTTTGAATGTGCGGTTTATAACTATATAATTATTCACGTGCGAGTTCACAGTGAAAGCCCTCCTCCTGATTCTGCTGGGTTCAGATGTGCAGAGGGCGTTGGTTCCCGTACCCACGAGCAGCCCCGCTGTGGGAAAAGCTTCGGGAATTGCTGTGGGAACTGCCGCGGTGCCAGCACGTGCGGAAAAGCCAAAACAGCTCCCAGGGATCTCGGCTCTTATTGCTTGAACTTGAATTTGATTGCGCGCTCTAATAGCATTAGATAAAGAGGTCTTTGTTGGGCTCGTTGCTTGCTCGCCCGCTCAGGAGGCGACTTTTGCTGATGTCAGCCTCTTAAGCGATAGCAGCCAAGCAGAGGTTCGCATTCCAGGGTCTCATTCATGTGTACATTCAGCATGGGAATACAGTTCCTAATTGTCACCACCAGACTTGTGAAATCGGGGGTGTATGTGGTGTTTCGTCATCTGCCTGAGAAGTGAACCCAGAAGAAGGGGAATTTCTTATTCGTTCCAGTTTGCTCAGTTTGATCTCGTTGCTCTCAAAAAAACCCCTGTGGAACAACAAATAAGAAACTGGCTACAGAAAGTAAAGGCATTCTGATATTCTGATCACACAACAGGTTTTGAATTGTTTCTTTGTTCAAGATAAAAAAAGGTGTCAGAAAAGAAAGTAGTCCCTGTTCTTATCAACATTAACAACAGTAAGGTCCCTACAAGCTGTTGCACTGCAGGGATTTCAATCACTGTCTTAGGGCAAGCTTATAGATTTACTCCACTTCCTTTTCCTTCTGCAACACTGTCTACACGAGGAAAGGGTGGAATATGTTTTATGTCTAATTTTAGTGAATGTAGAAAGAAGAGACCTTATTGACAGAAAATGAGAACATTTCAATGGAGAGTAGTGGATCTCTGATGATATTTACAGTAGGTAAAAACCTTGATCGTGCTTCAACTCTTGGTCTTGAAAGCATGTTTGTGTGTTCTTAACTTTATTGCAACATGGAGTGATAAAATCAATGAGAATATCACAGAACTCGCTTCCAAAGTAAGAAAAGCCTTCTATGACTGGCCTGTTGTCAATGGGGATTCCAGGAAAAAAAAGTACAGTTTTGCACTGAAGCTCATGAAACACAATTTTCTGGGCTGTCATCCATCAATTGTCCTTATTGCCAAGAAGACTGTCACCCTGAGATTTCAATTTGAAGCGATCAAAGGCATCTGTTTTCAGCTGGAGGTTTATTTTTTAGTGTTGAAGGTGTGTATTTTGTAAGAATGAAAATAGACAATGTGAAGCTTCTTTCCTTTAAGTTATCTGCAGCTCTAAAGCTCGGTTTTGGTTTGGCAAGTATCATGTGCAAGCTGTCTGTGACTTGTCTCAGATCTTCCTGTCAGCTCCACCATTGGGTTCTGTATCTGCCCACCACAGTGAGTGGTACAGAGCTTGTCTCTAAAGTAAAGGAGGGTCATGAAGATGATTAGAGGGGTGGAGCACCTCTCCTGTGAGGAACGACTGAGGGAATTGAGACTGTTTAACCTGGAGAAGGTTCTGTGGTGACTTCATTACAGCCTTTCAGTACATGGAGAGGCTACAAGAAAGCTGGAGACGGACTTTTGACGAGGGGGGATGGTTTCAAACTAGCAGAGGGCAGGTTTAGAGTAGATATTAGAGAACTGCTGACAAACAGGAGTGACACCAACATAAACTGGGCTACGTGAGGGCTGGGGCATGAGAGGGGAGTAATCTCCTTCCTGAGAGACTTCTGAAACTTCACTGTATGAGACCCAAAGCAACCTGATCTGACTTCAGCATTATCATTGCTTTGAGCAAAGAGTTGCACTAGAATCTCCAGAGGTCATCCTAGAGTGGTTTGGATTGGAAGTGACCTTAAGGATCAGCTTGTTCCAACCCTTTCTACTTCCACCTTCCACTAGACCAGGTTGCTCAAAGCCCCACCTGAGGTGGCCCTGAACACTTCTGGGATTGGGGCATCCACAACTTCTCAGGGCAACCTGTTCCAGGGCCCCTCACCACCCTCTCAGGGAAGAATTTCTTCCTAATATCTAATCTAAACCTGCCCTCTGTCAGTTTAAAGCCGTTTCCTCTTTTTCTGTTACTACAACCTAATTGTCAAACCTAATTTTTATAAGTCTTCAGACTTTTCCCTACCCAATTATTCCTTAAAGAAGCTGGTTCTTTCATGACATTCAAAGTGAAATCAACTTCTTCAGTCATGGGAAGAGGAGAATGAGATCGAGGAAACACCAAAAAGCTGAGGTCATGCTCTGATCTGTGATTTCAACACACTCCTTCTTGTTTGTGTCTAAATACTGCAGTCACTGTAAAAGTCTGTCTCATGTCCATGTCCTTTACGGCACCATTGTTTTAGGAACACAGCCAGTAAATGGCGATGGAATAAAATCCTTGACTTGTGGGATTGCGCAGACTTGCGGGAAGGAGAAGGCATTAGTGTTTATGGGGTGTGTGATGCAAGGAGATTTGATAGCAGAGAGCAACAGAAGAGAAACATTTCAAAATGAAGAAGTAACAGTAGAAGCAGAGACAAAGAATAGCAAAAACAAGTGGATATTGTTCTGTTGCTGCCCATTCACTATCCCTGAAGTGAAGGAGTAAGGAAATGTGACTTTGGCCGAGACATTAATATGAGCTGACTTGAATGCTGGTGACTGAGTCACTGGGTCAGAGACTGTGCTGACAGTGCTGTTCTGTGAGAAAAAAATGGTGTTTAATGCCTCTGTTGTAGTTCAAGACATCAAGGACCTGCCATTTCAGGAGCTGTTACACTAAGGCCATTAAGTTGCTGGCTGTCATCCAGCACTTTGGAGCACAAAGATGCCTTCAGTGTCAGTCAGGGATTGCCCTGTCAAAGCAGCTCTGTGTGAAAACCTCGACGGGGCAAATCTGCCAAGCTGAGATTGC